GCATCATGTCACAAATAGATATGTGCATTTGTTTCATGATCCGCTTAACAATAGCTGAATGATGGCCATTTTAAGACCGAAAATGCATTAAAATCACGTATTTTCACAATTTCGGAACCAGATCTCAGTCATGCATGGATGGATTTTGTTCAGATTTAGTACAATGTGTTGTACATATGCAGGTGCATTTCGGTCATGATCTGCTTTGAATGTATATGTCACTCAAATATGAACGGAACGGGGACGTGTCATTTACAATGACTTGTAGTTATTAGAATGAGATATTTGTAAAATGTTACCGCGGTTTATTAAGATTGTTTTCTTGATGAGTGTGTATAGTTTGCGAGACGAATGACGAATTATCACGCGATGTACCAAGGATTTCTTACCGCCAAGTTAATGGTAAATCAAATTATTGTTATGTCAGTTAAAGGGCGGTGGTCGTCGCGAAGCGCGTGTTCGAGTTTCATTTAAACAAAGAATGAATTTTACACGCCTTGTATACGTCGCTATGAGTTCCACATCGAACAGGACGCGGCACGACGACCACCATCTTTTAACACCATTGAGACTGAAAGGGGAGTACTATAGCAAGGTATAGTGTGATAACTACGAGATTTGTGATGTAATGCCCGTTCACGGACATTCAGATTTTTTTATATTTAAACAGTCTTGGCAACCACATAGCTCTGCCACTCCTGTAGCATATTTAAATAGCTCGACTTAAATGTAAAATAACAATAAATATAAAAACACTAAAGCATTATCTCAGTTTGGGTTCTTCTGATTTACAAAGAGCTTGAAACCTAAATAGCTCTATAAAACTGTGTTCATTTGAATTGTTCTAATTCTATGCGGTGTATTTGTATAGCTAAATATGTTATTACCCTGCTTTATTATCAACAATTCCAGTTGCTCTTTTTTCTTTCAGTTTCACAGAAAACAAAGCAAAACGCTAGAACCTCCGTACAACAACACTGCATAGTCATATACATCAATGTGACTGTAAATTTCACATAAAAACCGATTACCGTTTCGTAAAATGTTATTTATGTCAAATTATGTGGAGATTCCGACACCGCCTTTTAAAAGCAAATTCATTTATTCACAGGTCTGCCAATTATACAGCTAGTTCAAAAATAAATACAGTTTGAACTTTTCCGTTATTTTAGGTTATTCTGTTAGTATGATGCAACAATGTGAAGCGAAATTCGTATAAATATATACATAAATGCAAAAACATGTTAAAGCTGTAAGTGATCACGTGCCTACATCCATGCATTAATTGGAATGCAACTATCTGAGAATGTCATGTGATGTGCCTAAACTAATGATCATTATGCGTTTATGGTAATTTGTGCGTTGTCATGGTTATTTCCTTTTTCGTTACGTGTCACGGTCTGTGACGTTGACAACAGTGCTCTTGCCTTAATATATCATGAAACCACGATGTCTAGCTTATACAGAACCGGATCGTGAAGTACAGGTAGTATGTAAAAACATCATTCAAAATATCATCTTTTTCTAATGTGATAGAGTATGTGTACACTTACATTTAATGTAAACTACATTCAAATAGCTATATACCATTTTAAAATTGTTGCAATGCATATAAGTCTTAACGTAACTAAAGTGCTGGAATCACATTGTGGC